TCTCGGAGGACCGCGCTAAGAAGCAAGAAGCCCCTCGAAAGCGGGAAAGAGATTTCACTGAACCACTCAAGTGCATTAAATGTGGATTGCTGAGGTACAGTAAAAAGTACTGTCCCCAATGTAATAAGGGAAACGAGGAAAGGAGTGGTCAGGAGGGGTTGACCCCACTCCTTCGTCCCTTAAAACAAACCCCGTGAATAAGACCTCTCGGCCCTCATCAGCACAATCAGTACCGCTAGTAACGAATGTGCTGAGCGATGGGAGCGAAAATTTTTATATTTGTGCTAATGATGTGAACGTCGGAAAAGTGAACGCGGACAAAGGGGGTATTGACGATAGTAAAGCCCAAGACCATAGACCGGCCGTGGTTGTGGAGAATGGATAGCCCACGCCCTCGGAGGCGCTGGTAACGGCAGATAAACCGTCAAGGTATACTCCCGAAGGACCTCCAATAGTCCGAACCGAGGTGGTTGGAACGGATGATGACGTCACTTTACCACGCGAGAGCACAGTAGCTAGCGCTATGGTATGCCAAAAGGAAGGCTGTGAAGCCGCTGAATCAGTTTCGCTATACTACCTGGAACAGGAAACATGCTGGTGACAGCCGAGGTAACAGTCTCTCAACAGGCAATATTCCAGAAGACCATCAGTGAGGCCTTATCGCAGACCCCCGTGGAACTGGGATGTGCGGTATAAATTGAGCACGAGATTCGTGTGAAACGAAATCGATTAAGCAGCGCTACTATCCAGTATTACACAAGATCGAGCAAGAAATGCATAGATTGGTAAGGGAAATGTTAGCCCAAGGGGTGATCGAGCCGGCAAATAGCGGCTGGTCGAGCCCGGTGGTTATGATACTCAAGAAAGACGGCTCATATAGATTTTGTATAGACTTTCGAAAGGTCAACAAGGTCACTGAATCAAACGCGTATCCCCTACCATTTATGCATGATATATTGAGACGTTTGCGAAACGCACGCTATATCTCCACGCTCGATCTCAGTAGCGCGTATCACCAGATACCACTCAAACCCGAGTCTCGACCCATCACTGCTTTTACCGTGCCCGGATTGGGACACTTCCAGTTCATAGGAATGCCATTCGGTCTCTCGTACGCCAACGCCACCTTCCAATGGCTAATAGATAGCGTGATCGGACCTGAGCTTGGCGATTTCGCCTTCGCCTATTTGGACGATATCGTCGTAGTGTCGTCCAAATTCGAAGATTACTTGCGGCATCTTAGAACCGTGTTGGATAGGTTAAGCCGAGCCGGGCTCTCGATTAATCGAGAGAAAAGCGTCTTCTGCAAGCCGGAGGCCAAATATCTAGGTTTGCTGATTAACCGAGAGGGTATCAGACCCGACCCCGAAAAGGTGCGCTGAAATCCTTGAGGGCTTGAGAGAAGTCGATCAAGGCTGGACCACCCTCAACGCCCTTCAACGACCCGTATACGCCTAATTTGATGCGTATACGGCTACAGGACACCGCCCCAGTGACCTGAAACACTGGAGGAAGGTGGTGTCCCGTCGACGCCAGCTCGCCGCTGTGCTAAAAGAGGTCCAGCGTCGTCACCGCCAGGCCGTCGAGGGCTCGGTTGGTGATCCACCTGCAACCAACGTCCAGCCTCCGACTATCAGGACTCCGGAAGTGGGCCCGACGGCTGCCATACACCAGCACCAGCGGACGTGCGGGGTGAACCTAGTAGTGAACTTAAACAGCGGCAGCGTAGACCAGGCAATCGAACCCATCCATATTAACCTGGTGGTGGGATCCACGACGACGTGGACCCCCACGCGGACGAGATACCCCCGGTGGAAAGACCACTGTAGTCTGCACCCAATCGTCGAGATGGGTTGCCATTGACCCCTAGGGAGCGAGGGATCCCTCGAGGTACCATGTCTCGTGTGCAGTGGGAGGGCTGCAATATATGTCACTACCTGGAAGTAACCCGCACGGACCGCTGTTCACGTGTCCGGCAACATCCGGAGCTCGTGAACGAGAGGCGGGACTGGGAGGCGCGCGGACGCCCCAAGCTTGACAAGGAGGGTCGTAAAGAGACCCGTGGACACCAGTGATCATCCTTGTGAAAGGTACTTGCCCCGGTGGGCAGGGCGGGTCCCGGATCATATACGAGCAATAAAAACAATATACTTGCGACATGATTTTTCATTGCCTTTTATTCACCTGACCTCGACGGGAAGAACGCAAACGAGGTTTCAAGGACCCCGAGTGTCCAGACTGGAAGGGGGCTGTGACGGTAAACGTCTTGTTTGCGCTATCGTCTCAATCACGCGGCTGCCTATGAGGGCAGCACTTACCGACTGGGGAAAACGAAAAACGGGAACTCGGTACGAGACGGGACGAAACGAGCGCGAAGAGGAAAGAACGAGTCGAGGATTAGCCATCCGAGCACCTAGCAGCACAGAAGGGCAAAACGAACATCAAAAGAGTGTGGAAGTAAACCAGCTGATAACTTATATCGAAGTTTTCTTTGTCGTTGCCGTTTGGAGGATGTGTGTGAAGTTTCGCCATCGTAGGTGACCACGAGGGCGCGGAACCCCTCTTGCGAAGTCGACAAGACAACGGAGAAAGTTAGAGCTAAAACCTGAGATATCGGAAGCGGCCATACTGATTTGTCCCCTTCTGATAGTGCGACCGTATATCTAAGGTAAGCTGGTCAGCTTTATATCGCGATTTCTGACAAACGATCGCGCTTAATTGCTCTTCCCTCGTACCGGCGAATCGCTAAAAATCGGTAGCGTGCATTTGAATTAATATTGCGAACAAAGAACTGTAAACGAACTAGCGATGCATGTTCTTGTAGCGATGTAAGCGTCTTATAGAGTTTACAGACAATAATAAACTAATCCATGTTTAATTCAAACGGGAATTTTTTTGTTATCATTAGTAATAAGTTGGTTGACTGATCCCCGTTCCCTCCTGCTCTCCAGTTAGCAAACATGAATATTTCGATTTCGCCGCGCGCATTCCGATACGATTGCGCGTCGAGCGAAACAATAAAATTAAAACGGATGCCATCCCGTTATAATATATATATATATATATGGGCCGATCAATGTCAACCGTATCACTGCTGTGTCCAAAATTTGATGTGACCAAAAAAATCGTGCAACGACTCATTTTAAAGCTTAGAATATCTACTTTCTGATGCTGTGTGCGTCTTTGCAAAATCCAACATGGCGGCTCCAATATGGCGGCTACAAGAGACAAACTCGTAAACAAATAATTTTATTTTTCAAATTTTTAGTAATAAATGTTAAAAAAATTAATATTTCATTTTTTTTATGAAAATCTGGCTCATTTCCTACAAAAAAGTAACAGAGACCATTTTCGCTAAAATGAAAAATAAAAAAGTTATAATTTTTTGAAAATTTTCAAAAATAAAAAACTGCGATTTTTTTACTCAGAAGGAAATGACTTTGGAAAAAAAATTTAAGGAACAAAATTGCTTGACATTCATCAAAACACAAGTGTGAATTTTTTCGAATTCCTTTGAGCGATTTTTATGAATTTTTGTAAAAGATCTTGGGAAGTTTTTTAATTTTTCAAACAATCCGATAAATCCAAAAAGCAAAAAATCGTTAAAAGGAATTCGAAAAAATTCACACTTGTGTTTTGATGAATGTCAAGCAATTTTGTTCCTTAAATTTTTTTTCCAAAGTCATTTCCTTCTGAGTAAAAAAATCGCAAAGTTTTTTATTTTTGAAAATTTTCAAAAAATTATAACTTTTTTATTTTTCATTTTAGCGAAAATGGTCTGTTACTTTTTTGTAGGAAATGAGCCAGATTTTCATAAAAAAAATGAAATATTAATTTTTTTAACATTTATGACTAAAAATTTGAAAAATAAAATTATTTGTTTACGAGTTTGTCTCTTGTAGCCGCCATATTGGAGCCGCCATGTTGGATTTTGCAAAGACGCACACAGCATCAGAAAGTAGATATTCTAAGCTTTAAAATGAGTCATTGCACGATTTTTTTGGTCACATCAAATTTTGGACACAGCAGTGATCCGGTTGACATTGATCGGCCTATATAATATATACCGGGTGTTCCAGACCATCCGTACAGCCATTTTAAGATCGAAAATTCGTGTTTTTGTGAAAAATGTTTCAGATGAATGTTGTTTACGACGAAGGGGGCCATCTATCTGTATAATTAGTTTTGACCTTGAACATCGTTTTCAAGGTCATTTGAAGGTCGAATTGTTTTTTTTAAATGGGAACCCCTATTTTTGACACCCGATTCGGAAAGAGCGGAAAATTTTACGTCCAAAACGGTATTTTTAAATTTTTTTTCATGGCCTTGAGAAGGTCGATTTACGGTCAAATGCTTGAAAAACTGCTTATAAGCGTTTTTTTAATTTTTAAGATATCTAAAAATGACCTCTACAAAATTTGTTCAGAACAGAGTGGACCATCCAATGCACCAAAAACCTTTGACCTTTAACCTCATTTCGAAGGTCATTTCAAAGTCGAAGTGTTTTTTGTAATGGAAACCCCTCTTTTTGACCCCGGATTCGCACATAGCGCGACTCAACATAATACCTTATCCAAACGTCGGAAAAATAGGGGTTCCCATTTAAAAAAACAATTCGACCTTCAAATGACCATGAAAACGATGTTCAAGGTCAAAACTAATTATACAGATAGATGACCCCCTTTGTCGTAAACAACTTTCATCTGAAACATTTTTCACAAAAACACGAATTTTCGATGTTAAAATGGCTGTACGGATGGTCTGGAACACCCGGTATATATATATATATATATATATATATATATATATATATATATACATACATATTTATATTCATATTTATATATGAATTTGATAAATTTTATAGTAGGAAGAGCAGGGTAATAAATCGACAGTCTTTAGAAACCTTTTGTCTTATAACGATTTTATATCAAAAAGTAAGATGTTATACTATGTTGACTGTCTTACATTAAATAATCTGAACATATTTTCAATTCAAGGTTTTCTGCTCAGAACTTCCAATATTTCTCAGAGAACAAAAAAATGGAATGTATCGAACGGAAGTTTACTTTTTATGTAAAACTATTGCTGAAGCACCTATTTTTATTGCAGTGCCAGTAATTTTTACAACTATTTCATATCCGATGATAGGATTATATCCTGATATCAAGCACTATTTAGTTACGGTCGCGGTTGTAACTCTTATAACTAATGTGGCAACATCATTTGGTAAGTATTTGATTATTGATAAAATTTATAACCCAAACATCTACCCAAGAGAAAAATATTGTTCACGTATCGTACAATGGTTTCAGTCCAGTCGCCGGATTATCAATTATCTATAATTAATGAATAAAGATATAAAGGAACTTACTCTACTGAACCAGTAGCAAAGAACTGTTTTTCTCCAATAATTTACTCTGTAAGCTGTAATTGTGACAAAGTTAAAGTTAAAAGACCTACGAATTTTTGAATAAAAGATAAATGCAGGATGATTTCTAATAAGAAAATTGCAAAATTATATTTCTTTAAAATAAATTTCATTATTTTTGGATAATTTAGATTTTTGCCGGGTCTTAATATTTCAATTCTAAAATTTTCATGTATCAAAAATCGACCAATTTTATGGCATTAAAACATTTAATTTTCAGACCTGAAAATTTTTTTAGAAACATCTGGGGAATGTTACAAATCTTCGTCGTATTTATTGGCCAATGATTCTTTTATATGAAACATTTATGCATCGCTTAGGGTGGAAAATTTGAGGTTTTTAACCATCGGCCAAATTTCTCATCACAGCTTATGACATAGTTATTCATTTCCCCGACTTTGTTTACCGAGGCGCCAAAGTGCTACTTATTGACTACAGCATTCATTGAGGATTCTAGTTGGAAACGGGAAATCTCAGTGACTTCTATCGATTTCGATAGACGCAGATTTTGACTGTAGCGTTAGGTTAGTGTTTATCCAAAATGGCTCTTCCTGTCATACTTTAGATTTGCTTGTATGTCTCGTCGAAAGATAAAAGTCGACTAAATTTAGTTCTTGCCGGCAATTTTTTTCCTAGTTTAGGGTATGAGCGGATATTAGCGAAAATAGAAAACTTATTGACTTTTATGGTCTGGATTCGATAGCAATTACAAACGAGTTTTTTTAATGTTCTGGATCCACGTAGAAGATTACGAAAAAAATCCTTTGCATACCCGAATACAACCCGAATTCAGAGCCCAAATTTATCACGATTGTGTTTGCAATTAAGATAATGGCATGCAAAGGGATAGGTTACAGCTCATATCACAGAAAAGTCTAAATGGCGTGGTCAGAAAAGTACTGCTCAGCGAATAACGAAAGCAAAAACGTGTGCACTACTTGGTCATTATAGAAAATTCGACAAGTATCCGGTTAGTCTTAATGAAAATATCGATCATTCCCCTCTTAATTGTAAAAAAATTATTATTGGTCAAAGAGCCTCAACTTACATACCAAAATACTAGATTACGGAATATAATGAAGAAACGAAGCATTTACGCGATCTTCAGATGTTTAAAATCTCGTGAATTTATTACATAATTTCGAGAATATCATAACCTCAAAAATTCAGGGCACTGGAAACCTTAAATCTATGACAGGTCAATTTTGGAACTTAAACTCTAAATCTTCAAGTTCTGCAAAGCGTAAACCCACAGCCGGTTAACGCCGAATATTAAACTCTAAAATCCCAGGACGATGTAAGAGTTAAATCCACGACAGATGAATTTCGAAGCATCGGAGATTCAGGAGTTTAAAATCGTGGTTAACCTGTCGTGGAATTAAATTTGCAGGATTTTTATAATTTAAGAGTTAAAATTAATATGTCGTAGGTTTAAGATTTGCGAGATCGGGGCTTTTCGTATTTATATTTCGAAGTAATCTGCGGTAGGTTTAAAGTTTTCAGCGAGCAGAATTTCTGAAGTTAAGGTATTTTCGAAGTTATGTAATAAATTCATGAGGTTGTAACCACCTGAAGGTTACGTAAATGCTTCGTCTATTTATGATATTCGAAAATCCGTTGTTTCTGGCACGTTATTTGAGACTCACTATATTCACCAGTTTGAATTTTCAATTGTTACACTGGTTAATTGTTGTCTAAGTAGATCATATGATAAATTGAAATTTATAGACCAAAAATAAAATCGCATATTATTATTTCACTAGGAAGTTTTTCATATATTTTGTTACGATTGAGAACTTAAGGTGGCATTAGTTCAGGAGCCCTATAACTGAAAAGGTAATATCATAGGGTTAAGAAGCAGTATTGGCTTTAACATGGAGCCAAAACAAACGAAAGCTTTATGACGGCCATTCTGTTCGATCCGAACGACATAATCTGCTACTAAAATCTCAGAGTTATGCGACTCACACTGTGCATGCGTACAGCTAAAAGAGAGTTTTGAAGAGATTTACGTGAGTAGTCTCTATTATCAGTTTGGCTATGATCTAGAGCAATAAATGGAGAAGATCGGAAGAGCGCACAGATATCTAGAAGAAAAAAAATACTGATAGGTATAGATGCAAATGCCAAGGCAAAACTCTAGTTGGATAAGACTAACGAGAGAGGAGAAGATCTTGAAGAATTCATCCTAAACCTCGGCCTGATGATCGCTAATAGAAACGGTCAGCCCAGGACATACCGCGGCATAAAGGGAGAATCAGATGTAGATCTGACAATCTACACAACAAATCTAAGGAATCTCCTTAAGGACTGGTCGGTAATTTACTAGGATAGGACAACAAGTGGTCACAAACCAATTTCGATAACTATGAATAACTCCTCAGATCCAGCTCCTCCTTTAGAAAAGATCTCGGAACCGAGATTCATTACAAGGAAGGCAGACTAGGAAAAATTTAAAAGACAATACGGATTCGAAAAACGTTGAAGTATGAAAAGCTGGAAAGACTACTATACCATCAAAAGCGAGAAAAATACCTAGTCTTTGCTGTTAAACAGGCAGCAAATAAGGTTAGTAGCACGAAAGTCATATGCACAGTTTGATTAAATAGAGTAACCATTAAAGGGTGTGTCAAAACCAACAAGCCTCTGTTGAATGTGCTAGTTCCCGACGACAATATAAGTACGAAGTCTGAAGCGCACAGGGACGTACGAAGACTCATGCACGAGGCCCCAGAGGCGGACGATGAACTGCCGGTTATGCTCAGAGAGGTTAGAGAAACTCTAGGAGTGAACTAAACCGGGAAAAGTCTAGGGACAGGCAGGATAAAGGCAATGATGCTGGAAAAGGCTGGTCCATTACAACCAGAGTTAACAAGACTTTTTAACTTGATATTATTTCATAGCAGATGGAATAGTGGAATACTATCACATTATTGAAAGGTTTGCCTGTTATCTAGAATAAGCAAGATACTGGAAGAGTTAATGATAAATCATATGACAAATATTATAAACAGCGACGAATGAGCCTCGCCGGATCCGTACGGATTTTGATATGTAAAATCCACAGATAATGCATTCTTTTGTCTACGAGTGGTTGAAGAAAAAATAGAAGCTAGCAATAGCTTCGAATACGCCGCAGCTGTTCCACTAGATATCTCAGGATCATTCAACGCCCAATGGTGGCCCAACCTATTTGTCGAAATAAAAAGAAAGAAATGCTCAAAGAATACCCATGGGTTACTGAAAAGTTACTTTATTTGACGAAGTTAGAAAGAAAGTAACTAAAGGGTGCCCGCATGGTTCAATTTTTTGACCAGTCAGATGGCACATCATCTTCGATAAGCCACTCTGTGTCCTGAAAAAAGCAGGATATGACGTAGATAGAGTGTTTCAGGTTTCACAAGATTAAACTAGCGGTAAAAAAATCATATTTAATATTATTGAAAGAAAGTTTGAACCAAGCAAGACATCTAACAGTTAAAATTGGAACAGGAAACGTAAAGATGAAAGAGACGATCAAATATCTTGGAGTAAAAATTGAAATGGGCTTCAAGGTACTAACAAGGAAACCCCCCCAACCCAACCTCACCGATTTCAATAATCTTTTGATAAGTTATAGTTCATCAAAAAATAAGACCTACGTATTTTTTTTATCGGCGGAAAAACACTTTGAGGGGGTGAAAACAACCCTCAAAGTTCACCCCCAAAAATAGATTTTCCAATGTATCTCAGCATCTAATTGATATTTTACGACCAAACAAATTTCATATCACTTCTCATGTGAAAAGCAAACTAGCACATGCAATTCCGACCACAAGGAATGCAACCCTTATTTTTTTTATTTAAAATACTATCTATTTCATGGCTATTTTTATGAAAAAAATTAAAATAACCCGAAAAAATTGGAAAAAATATTACCCTACATAAAATACAAAAATAAAGTTAATCTAGTCAAGCTTTTTTTCAAACTACCTCCTTAAAGTTGAAAAACCACCCCTAAAAAATTGTTTTCAATACATTACAGGTGGTGTTGATAATTTAGTGTAAAATACGTTAAGCATCATTTATACTGTACAAACACAACTATCTCGTGCAGTTTCGACCACAAGGGTTGCAACCCCTAATTTCTGTCATCGAAATTTTTACCTTCTTTGTACCTATTTTTTAAGAAAAGTTCATAATGAGCTTAAAAAAATTAGAAAAAATATTACCATGGATAGAATAAGAAAAAAAAATTTACTTCTCATTTTTAAAACCACCCCTAATGTTGAAAAACCACCCCCAAAAAATTGTTTCCAATACATTACAGGTCCTGTTGATAATTTACTGTAAAATACGTTGCTCATCACTTATAATGTACAAACACATTTATCTCGTGCAGTTTCGACCACGAGGGTTGCAACCCCTAATTTATGTCATCGAAATTTTTACCTTCTCCATTCCTATTTTTGAAAAAAAGTTCATAATGAGCTTAAAAAATTGGAAAAATTATTATCGTGGATAGAATACGAAAAATATGTACCAATTCAAGATTATATCACCTAACAAGACCCAGAACTGGGACAACGTTTTTCCAGCGATATCAGGAGAGACCTATACAGAGGAAAAATAAGGAAAAAAAGGGGACGGATGGATGGACGGACGCACGGAGAATTTCGCGCCTTCTGTTTAATATAATAGAAGATATATAAGATATATATATATATTTTTTTTTATTTCAGATTAAAAAATGAAAATTAACGCTCTGAACGTTTTAAATTTATTATTAGCTTACTTTCAAACTCTACAAATACCTGAA